CAACCTACATTCGGTTTGTCGATTAAAATTAACGTAATCGATGAAATTCTTAATGATCAATTATAGATTAATCGATTAATCATTGCCCATCCCTAATCGATATACATATAGAATCATGGGAAAATCATATTGTTGCATCCCTAGTAGATAAGCAGGTGGCAGACCCAAGAGAAAAGAGCACCTTTAATATTGCTACAACTACTAATCTGATCATAGGAACTTTTGACAAACTAGCAATTTCAGAAGTTCTCTATTAGTTTAAAACGTGTAATACTGTGTGGCTCAGTGCTACAATTAAACAGCTAGAGTTCATCTGAAAGACCAGTTTTCAACCTTAAAGATAAAAATATGGCACAATAAAATCTTAAAAAACGATAAAAACTCCCACCCAGTACTAGTATGTACATTATAGATCAGACTTTATGATAATCTCTTGGACCTTGGGCTTTGCAGTTTTGTAGTAGAAAGGATTACACAGAATGTTTGATGTTTGAAATCTAAGCTGCAGTTTGAAGTGCTCCGTCAGCCTGCCAGTCTGTTAATGCTCCCTGAATTATTCCTTATTTCTCTAACCATACGCCAGAGCTCCACGGGCCTCTTAATTAGTAATCTGCTATGTTCTGCCGACATCTTAAAGAGCTGCTTAATGGAAAAAACACATTGTGAGGTAAGTCATTAACAGTGAAAGCGCCAGTGATTGCTTTTGAAGGATTAGGCCACTTTTCATGTAAATGTGTTATTTTTTACGCAAATTGTGATTTCGAAATGCTTTCACGATTAAAGATGGAAGAATGTAATATATTGGTGAAATGAGTGTCAGGAGTAGCACCAAAATATTGAGCGTGGCATTAGGTTTAAAGATGCATTGTGGGGCTTTTCTGGTGTACGAGGGATGCACCAATACCAATATCCTGGTAAGACCTATAAACTGATGCAGTAAGACTATTTACTGGTTGTAGTTGGTCCACAAAGTCTCAGAATATTTGAGTTTTTAATCCAAAGTTGTTCTTTAGTGACATAAGAGATTAATAACTGCTACATGACATATTTATTTTTAATACAGTCATTTTGTTTGTAGGAAAATACAGTCTGTTTTCAGTCTCTGAACTGGTATCGGTTGATTTTGGATATTGGCAGATTCTTAAATTATCGGAATCTGTATCGGAATTGAAAAAGCTGGATTGATGTATCCCTAAAAAGCACCTTGAAAAACTTTGATCAGTATCAGATTTTCACAGATATGACCTGTAATGTGGACGAATGGAGTCATGCTTGTCTAACGTATTTTTCGGACTATAAGTCGCTCCGGAGTATAAGTCGCACCAGCCAAAAGATGCATAATGAAGAAGAAAAAAACATTAATATAAGTCGCATCCGACTAAAAGTCACACTTTTTGGGAGAAATGTATTTTAAAATCAGAGACCAGGAACCGACATTTCATCTTGAAAGACAAGTTATAGTAATAACAACAGAACAGAGAACAACAGCCTGTTAACGTCACATATGAACAGTTCTTCAGATAAACTATAACATAAACAACAGAACAGAACAAGTTTGCCCAGCTCTCCATCTCACTCCAAATCACTAAATCCATTGAATTCTTCATCCTCTGTGTCACTTCTGAACAACTCCCCGACCTCTGGAGGTAAACAGAGCGCCGCTTCCTCTTCTGTGTAGCTGTTGTCAGACTCTGCATCAGTTCCAGTTAGAATTATTCTGGCCTTTCTGAATCCCGACAGAATGGTTACGTTTGCCATTGAAGTCCAGGCTTTGTCAATAAATCCAATGACTTCCAGGAAAGTTGCATGGTGCACCCACCCGGTTACTGTGAAGCTGTGTTCTCCAGACCCGCCTTTCACCAGTCCCTCACAAGTTTCTCGCTTTTTCCAAACTTTCTTTCTGCTGCTCAATTACCGTTTTTGGCTGCATGTTTCACTACTTGCAGCAAGGCAGCGGCTCTTTCTGCAGGAGACATGCGCAGTAGAGCCAAGTGACAGTGGTATAGGAGTAATGGGAGAAACAGATACTGGCACACAAACCTGTCAGTGTGAAAATTTTAATATATAAGACACACCAGAGTATGAGTCACAGGAAACACCCAAACCATGAAAAAAGTGTGACTTATAGTCCGAAAAATACTTTTAGATAGATAGGTTTAATGCCATACTGTGGGATATTCCATACATTCAAGGTGGGTGAAGGAAAATTAACTGCCAAGAGTGGGAATGGCAATCATTGTTATAGGCGCAGTTGTCTCTAGCAGCTGATCTATGTCCATCAATAAACAAGTTAAGATAGTAACAGAGTGTAGTGAAATAGAATTGAAAGGTCCACCAAAACTAAACCAGGTCTAAACCAAGGCTGAACCAGTTTTAAGAAGTCTAAACAGGGTCTTCTTCTAGACTAACTCAGGACTAAACTAGATGCAGTCCAACTTTTCAATTGTGTAACTTTTCTGGTGTAGGGTCCATTGCTTTTTTCCACGGAGATGTTATTGCTTTGTCTGGAATGTTTCACAGTATGGCATTAAAACTTTGTATCTTTATGGAGATCAAACTAGAACCAAGTTATAGGTCAGATCTGTGGAGAGGCGACCCTGCTCACAGTCAGAAAGCCTGTTTTTCTAGCCTTTTTGAGCTATAAACCCACCTGTAATTGAATAAATGAAAGGTCCAGCTGTTTAATGTCATACCGTGGAACATTCCAGGCAGAGCAATGACATATCCATAGAAACAAGCAGGTGACAGACCCCCAACAAATTACAAAGTGCACCTTTAAACAAAAATTTTTAAAGCAGGAATAAAAACAAAGCATAAACTGAACAAAAATCAAAGTTGAAACTGCCAAAAAATTGCGATGACCACCACTTTTAAAGTTCATGTAACAGTTTGAAAATCACATTGCAATTTAAATTTGAGTAAAGTTGTGTTCTGAACAAACAAAACATTGTTCTGTAAAAAGAGCGAAGAGCGTGGGCAAAATGTTGTGCACAATGCAAAAACTTGTCTGGCCAAATCGTTTTTATTTTATTTTTTTATATTTTGAAAGGTCCACAGACAAAAGAGCTTGAATAGTTGGTGAAAATCTTATGCTGCTGTAAAATCTTAGGATAGTAGCATATTTTGATGAGCATAAAAACTTTCTAAAGTCAACATGACAAAGCATTTAAAAGACAGAAAAAAATGTATATGCAAAACCAAATGTGAACCCTACAGTTATTCAGGTCCAGTTTAAAGGCCGCCACACACTACAGGAGGATTTTTCTGATTTTGGCTGCGATTTGCTTCTGTCAGAGTTCGGGAAGGCGTGACCTGACTTTGTGTGCGATTCTGAAGCCGCTGCGCTTCTCGTGTTTGTGGTGTCAGTGTGACTCTGAGCTGCTCTGTCAGATCACAAAAACCAAACATCAACAATACTTTGGTAAAAGCCAATAAAACAAAGCAGGATGGACAGAGAGGTGTAAGATACAAACTCATGAAATAGCGAAAATAATGAGAAGACTTTACTCACCTCTTGTAAAGTTGTAAAGTTAAACTGCAGCATATCATCCATATTATCCACAGAATTTGTCCTCCGCTAAGAATGACACCCAGTCCAGAAAACATCACTATTAATCCAGTTTGAGGTGTTCTTTAAAAGCGAAAAGACGTGTCTGTTTACATCCACACAGTGCACAGATTGAGCTGAAGCTGCAAATCAGCGATCAAGAATCTACTTCCTTTGTAATTTATCACAGGCCTTTTGTGCATTAAAAATCATGTATCTGAAGTATTGCACCACATTTCACAAATAATAAGTAATAATAAGTAATAATAAGAGCTTTTGAACACTAAAGAGTCTCAAGGCAAGTTGTTTTATTTTAGACAGGAAACAGCTGACGCGAGGTGCACTCACGTCTTTGTAACCTGTGGTACATTTCAATAATAAACACACTTTTTTAGAAAATATAACTTAATTTTCAACCAAAAACATTAGCAGCTTCTTAAATGTTAGTCTGTGGTTATACATCCTCTGATATAAAACAAGATATGTTCTAAAACCATTCAGGAAAGATCCTACTTTTTCAAATGAGTGTGAGTCAAATGTTTGGTTTGACAACATTTTTTATTTTATTTTTTTTTACTTTGTTTTTATTAGGACATTTTAGTTATGTATATCACATATTGCATATTTACATACACAAATTATTCATATTGTGAAACAAAATAAATCAAAAGACCGACCAAAAAAGGAAAAATAAAAAATAAAAAGAAGCTAGTGACATCTGCTAAAATGTATAAAACAGTTTTACATTAAGTTTTGTTTTGACTGTAAGATTTCCACATTTTCAATACAGTTCTCCTTTGTCTGAGGAGTGTCTTAAAGAAAATGTTATTCATTCCATAATCTGAATTTCGTTGATTATATCAGTCCATTCTGAAACAGTAGGAGGTTTGTCCTGGATCACTTTCTTGCTGGCTGCTTGTCGTATCTGAAGAAGGTATCTGTCTTTTTTTTCAGCCTGGGTGGTAATTTTCCCAAATAAAACACGCTAAAACTTTCTTCTAGTTGCAATCCGGTAATAAGCTTGATGGTTTTAATCATTTCTGTCCAATAGGGGGCGATCTTGGGACATTGCCAGAATATATGAAAATGTCCAACTGATAATTGTCCACAATTTCTCCAACATTTACCTTGTTCTGCATTCTTGGTCTGATGTTCTTTAATTCTAGGGGTAATGAAGTATCTCACAGTGATAGAGATCCACACAGAGATCCCTGCCTCCTTTTCCCATTTTTGTTTAATATATATGGTAGAGTTAGTTTTTCTTGACTGTAGGACAAGGTATGTGGAGGAAATATGTTTTTTAGTAAGTTTTCCTTCACACACGTCTAAAAAAAAGCCCAATCAAGGCTTCGCTCTTTTGGTTTTGGGGTCTGACATTTGCATTCAAATGATGCCTCAGGGTTTTACAACATTTTTGACAACTCCGTTCTAACCCGACCTTCTCCTTCTCCAGGTGTGATCAGAACAGCTCTGCCCAACATGGACCGTGAGACCAGGGACCAGTACGTGCTGGTGATCCAGGCCAAAGACATGGTGGGGCAGATGGGTGGGCTCTCCGGGACCACCTCGGTCACCGTGACGCTAACAGACGTCAATGACAACCCGCCGCGCTTCCCTCACAGTAAGTCATGATGTCAACAAAAAGGGACGGGTTTTCTGATGTTGGGCAGCTTTGAATTACTTTATTGAATTATTAGGTCTTTCACTCTATAGCTCCATGATAGATGTAATGGGTAAGGTCAGACACCTCTTGGTCATTATGGAGACGCTATTGCTTTGCCTGGAGTGTTAGAAAGAATGGCATTAAATGTATCTGTCTCCATGGAAACAAGCAAGCACACCACTTGACCAAGTTACAGGTCATATCTGTGGAGAGGCAAGCGTGCTCATGGTAGAAAAGTAGTTTTTCAATGTCTATGCCCACCAGGTCTATGTATTATTACCAGATATTAGTACTTCCAAGCTGTATACAGTTGTAATGAGAGTGGTCTTAAAGATGGGATATTATGTAAAACTGACTTTTTTGAGCTGTTATAGCGCTATTCCCTCATCAAAAACATGCCTTCAGAGGTTTTAGATGTCATCCTTGCATGTTTGAGTAATCTATTCAAACCCTCCTTACAGTTAAGAGTACGATTCTGTCCAACAAATATACAAAGGCAGAATACAGATACAAAACAATACACTACAACGTGACAGTGTGCAGTAGTTTCATTAGTATCTGCGTACCTCTGAAGGGGAGCAAAGGGAGAGAGGGACTTAGAGCATCCGCTTTATCCAGGGCTAGCTAGGTCACAGAGGTGGCAGTCTAAGCAGACCGGCCCAGACTTCCCTTTCCACGAACACTTCTTCCAGTTCTTCTGGCGGGATCCCGAGACGTTCCCAGGCCAGCTGAGAGACATAGTTCGGTAACATTTTATAATAACTACACCTTATTTAGCCTTAATAAAGCATGAACAAAGACTTAATAAATAATGATTCACGCTTAGTAATTACCTGATTAGTACCTGAATTAGCACTTAAGTTGCACTTAATTTGCCTGTGCTGTAAATAGTTACTCATAAGTATTTCTTACTTAATTACTCATGAACTAACCATTTGTGTGTGCATTTGTAAATGTATACTTGAGTCCAAATTTGAGCATTTATTAACGATTAGTAAGCCATGAGAGAATGATTTAATAGTACTGCATTATTGTTTCTCTGGAATTTGACCAACCTAAACAAATGCTTAATAAAGCATCATTAGCCTTCACTTTAGAAAAGCTCTCAGAAAGATTTAACTAACAGATAACAGCTGCCTGAATTATCAGTGCATTGCATTATTAGTAAATCATTCTCTCATAGTTTACTAATCATTAATAACTGCTCAAATGTGTACTTAAATATACATTTGTAAACATGCAAATGGTTCGTTCATGAGTAATTAAGAAGTATTGAGTAACTATTTACAGCACAGGCAAATTAAGTGCAAGTTAAGTGCTAATTCAGGTAGTAATTAAGTAGTTACTAAGTGTGAATCATTATTAATTAAGTCTTTGTTCATGCTTTATTAAGGCTAAATAAGGTGTAGTTATTATAAAGTGTTACCCATCGTCCCTCCAGCGTGTCCTGGGTCTCCCTAGGGCCTCCCCCAGTTGGATGTGTCCCCAGGAGCCATCCGGAACAGATGCCTGAGCCATCCACACTGGCTCCTCTTGACATGGAGGAGCAGCAGTTCTATTCCGAGCTCCTTTTGTGTGACTGAGCTCCTTAAACTCTCTCTAAGGGAGCACCCAGCCACCCTGAGGAGGAAGCTCATTTCGACTGCTTGTATTCACTTCCATCATCCAAAGTGAAGCTTATTACATTTTAATGCATTTTATACACACTTTCAAAACGTAGTGATCTAAGTCTGTTATGTTAGCAATTAATAGCTCATAGAAGTATTAGAACATCGCCTCTTTAAGATCGTGCAATGTGTTGTTAGCTGTTGTCACTAATTCTGTAGCTTTACTTTAAAAATACATGGTTTCTTTGTTTGGTTAATAGACTTGTAAATTGGCTCTTATAAGAAAATACAATAGTGCCTCTGCCATAGGAGCGGTGAAGAGTTTTCTTATTAACACCAGAGTATGACAGCTTCAGAAAATGAGTTCTAAAAACAGTTCTAAACACTGTTATTCTTCTGGCCGTGCTAAGTGCTAAGTGCTAACCGCCGTCTTCTCTTCGGGTCTTCACTTTGTAGTAAAAGTCTGTGCCGTTCCCAAATCGAGTGTGACCGCGCTGCCAGTACTGCACTTCCACATCAGGACTCAGCATCCATCAAACACTCTCTCCGTCCTTCCTCAGTCTCTCTTTCTTTTTCTAACTGTCTCTCTCTCACACACACACACACACACACAAATACACACTGTCGCTCTCTCGTTCTCACGCTCTCTCTCCTTTCCTCCTCTCCCTCTCTCTCTTTCTTTTTCAACATCAGCAGTATTCCGTTCCACCTTTACAACAGAACTAAAAAATTGCACCTTTCTTTTATTCTTTTGAACACATTTTTTAAATTAGTCAACTTTTATTGTTAGAGAAAGCAAGACATCCATTTCTTGCTATTCATGGCTTTTACATTCACAAATTCTCAAATGCTCATGATCGACCAACTGGGGAAATGATATATGTTTGTCATGCACATCTAGAAGCAATCTGCTACATTCAAAGAGATACCACGCTTTTCTCACTGAACCGATCGTGTGATGTTACAGCTGCTAAACTCCAACAGAAGTGCGGGTGTGTTCACAAGTAGGAACCGTGCACCTCCACTAACAGTGCAGTTACACGGTGAAACATCAGTCAAAACAAGCACACTTTGTCTTTTAGCGTCACTTAGTCAACCGAGTCTTTGTTGACTTTGTTGCTGTTCCTTTAAAATGACTCACAGTACTGAAGATTTGATTTTGCATGTCACTACAGTAGTTAACACAAGTAGTATGAATTTTCTCTAGTTTGACAGTTTGTGAAGTTTGTCATTCTACTTCCTCATTAGACATGGGCAACAGGTGTGACACAGATCATTAAATGTTACCTAGCAACAGCTGTATAAACAAGGATAACAGATCGTCTAAAATAAAAGATAAAAACATGTTTTTAAAATGTGTATTTTGGTTGTTTTTAATTAACCTGACTCACACCAGATTGATATGTGTCACTCTGAGCGGAGTTGTACACATTATTAATCTGGGATGACTCGAAAAACATGGAACGTCATGATGATTATTTGAATCTGAACAAGCGGAACAAGCTGAAAAATCTATTATTCTAAGTGGGCTTGCATCTCCACAAACCTGACTCTCTGAGAGCCCCTTTTTCATGGAAATCCTTTGGCTATAATCTTCCACAGTATGGCATAAAACTGCTCTATGACTATCACCGTATCACCGTATCAGAAATGATTAGAGTCCAGACACAACGTTTCTGTGTCCACAAGTCTTTCCTATCCACACAGCTTTGCTCGTGTATTTGTTTACGTTTTACAGAAACAAAACTTAAAACCGCATGGCTAATTTGCGTAAACTGAGCGCTCAAAAAACAGCTCGCTATTGTGCGCTGATGCGGTTCAGCTTCTGTCGGACTAAAGGACACGACTCAGTGGAATATGAGTGTTCTGCTGATGGTGAGTCTGTTCTGTGCTTCTATCACATTGGAGATGGTTCATAGTCTAGCCTCTTTAACGTTTTACTGGTGAATTACTTTTTGGTGCATAGACCTACATCAGCATATCAGCATTTTCAGGCATCCACACAGTACTGGATCAGATCCGTACTCAGATGAATTCGTAGGAGCTGACGGCACCAGATCGTTCCGTCTCTGGAGCCGTTTTCCATCGGATTAGTTTGGACGAACACTGCATCCACAACGAAAACGACTCGAATACGTACTAGTGTGGATGGGGCCTATCTCCATAGTACCTCCAAAGTACAGTTTTAACGTTCTATTTTGATGTAGTCATGCAGGTGACATGCCACCTCAAGAAAGTTACATACTGTTCCTTTAAAACCATACACTGCTGTTATAATGCAACCCAAAATCCACTATTGACTGAAGTGGCACTATGATCCCCCTGCTGTCCTGGGATTAACCACACTGGTGTGAGGACAAAATGAAATATGAAAAGCCTTTTTTTTGTGACCCTTTAAAGAGCTCCTATTCCACGGCAAATTAAAAAGCCATTACAAAGATTACATGGCAGCAAACAATGTCAGACAGATTAACATTTGGACAGTGTCCGAGAGAGACGCGCAGAGGTCGTAATGAGCCCGACGTGGCCATAGCTCAGATTATCATTACCAATATGATTGTCTCCTTTTATTCTGTGGAGGAGCGCTTTAAACCCACAGGGTCAGGTGAAGCACAATGAAACGTAGACTAATAGAATATGTGAGTGGAGCTTTATCTGAGAGAGACAGACGAGGTTAAGTACGATGAGTCAAAGGGATTGTGCTAAAGTCTTGTGGAAATTTTGAGAAATCCGTAAAAAGTTGAAGTAGTGGCATAATGGCAATGTGAGAAGAAAATTCACAATGCCATTCAAGGGTGGAGAGGGGTGAAATATTTGCTGGATTGGTTATCGGCTTCCAAATATCAGTTCAGCAGATATTCTAGTTGGGCCTAAAAATGTGTCTAATAAAACTATTTACTAGTTGTATTTGGCCAAGAGAGTCTCACGTTCGAACTTTTACTTGTGAGAGTAACAGATACATAACACTTTGGTTCAGTTTTGTCTTTTTTACATTTTTGTTTAAGGGAAATAATAAGAAGAGCGTGAGTAGATGCTACTTCTTGAGAAAGCTCAGGTCTTTCAGTGTGTGCAGCAAGTTACTGGAGATCTTCAGCTAGTCCATGGTGACCAGCGCCCTGTTCTTGGCTGTGGTCTGCAGGGGGAGCAGCGCCAGTCAAAGGGACATTGAGGGAATTGATAAACTTATCCGAAAAGCTGGTCATGTGATCAACTGTGAACTGGAGACATTTGTCATATTGAGGGACAGGAGGACACTGGACAAACTGCTCTCCATCATGGACACTCCTACTCACCCACTGCACTGCTAGGGTGACTCTGAAAATTACGACACTTAGGCCCAAAAGTGAGGAC